ATTCTGTTTTGCACAACTCAAGAACAGAATCTATCGTACGCTATTTATGTGTTGTACTTTCATGGAGAGAAAATAAAGAACAAGGAAGAAAAGATAAAAAATGAGATCGTAAGAGTTTGTTGTCATTCTTGTTTTTATAGAAGAGAAAGAGGTGTTTTTTAGTCTCAAAATAATACTCTCATAATGCTCAATTAAACACAATTAATATGAGGCATTAAGGTGATATTGGTGGTTACGTAATTGATTGATTAAAATCAATTATTCATTTGTAGAAGAGAGTTTTATTTTGACAAGTTTTATTCTCTATTTGGTTTAGAGAATTATTTACTTTTTGACCAAGATTAATTCTGTAGGAGAATTATCTACTTATTGACCAATTCTATGTTTATGTAGTGATCAATTACACAAATAAAATATGATGCAAAAAGATAGGTTATTAGACCAAGGTCAATATACCTGAATCTGCATCTAAACCTTAACCGAAGTCCAAGTCAATCTTGGCTCAACTTGGCACGCGCGCATGGTTTAGTATGGGTTCAGTTTTCTTTACAATTGCCCTAAGGTTTTGAACCTTGTTAGGATTTATCCATTATAGTATATGCTATGGATATATGCTATGCCCCATTCGTGTCTTTCAAGCAACAAAGTTAGGACATGCATTTCTCATTTAAACAAACTGCAATCTTGACATATGACTATACTTTGTTACACTATGTCTTAAAATTGATTTCCAACAGTCCCGAGATAGGCGTTTATTGTGTGGCATGCGTTCCGAAACAGGCTCCCTACAGGAGACAGTACCAAAATTTGGGGAGACAATGTATGTGCCATGTCGCTATGTGGAGAGAGCAGAGACCACCTATTCTTTGCTTGTCCTTATTCTTATATAATATGGACAATGCTCTGTGATTGGTTACTCGGATCTCGTATACACCCGGATTGGACAACCACTATTCATTCTCTCCTACGGAATAGACTTACGCTTCTGGACTCCATGCTTACTAGAATGGCTTTTCAAGCCACGGTCTATTGGGTGTGGAGAGAGATTAATGGGAGAAGACATCAACGATCTCCTAATTCCTCTTTGTCTGCTTGCTCTTCGACGAGGCTCGAATGGAAGAGTAGAGAACGATGCAGGTGGGCTCAAGCCACAATAACAAGTTTCCGCTAAATCATTTCCTATCTATGCTCTACTTTGCCAATTTTATTGTCGTGCTCTGTTTTTCCGAAACAGTTAACATGGGAGTTAGCTTAAAATACCATGATGTATCTTTTTTTTTTTTTTTGATAAATAATACTACATTTCAAGAAAAAAAATTGTTCCAAATTATTAGGAAAAATAAAAATAAAATAATTCATGAAAAAAATTTAGTCCGTCCACTCAACATAAACACGAATACAATGGAGTTAGACAAAGTGATGACGATGATTTTGTTCTTTCCGAATTAGTTGAAGAGTTGAGAATGCGTAACCAAACCACTTAAGCCGAAGTTGCAATACCTTTGGCGCTAGAAGCCTTTCAAAAGAGACCCAACAATGAGTTGTCAGCGGCAAAATCCTCAGCTCTCTATCACGTACTTCTCTTGCATCACGTGAGAGCGATTTGAAGCACAATTCCATGAGCTAACACAAAGAAAAAACCTTACAAACCAAAATAGCTAGTGAACGTTGTAAGCTCATCCTACCAAGTTCCTCCCGAAGTAAGCCAGTACATAGTTGGATTTAACCACTAAAAACTACGACGGACACAAATTGTCTTACTAGCTCCTCTAGAGCACATATCAAAAGCATAAAACAAACCCAATCGCTAAAGCCAGCAACTACAACGCAACATCAACAGCAAGACACAAGCAACATCAGGGCCTAAAATCAACCATCAAGACTAGGTGTACAAGGATGCAACCACAAAGAGACGGTAAGATGGCCACCACCAGTAACTTAACCGAGTCAAAAGATGCATCATCGTAAGTCCTGGAAGGCAATTCAGAGGATCAACTAAGACGAAGTCTCACACCCAAGACGCCACAATGACCACACTCTCGAAGAAACCAGCTGATGTCCATAGGCAGATTGACAACAAAGCCAATTCATCGAGCCTAATCGTCAAGAGGAGAAGCCCATATAAACACCAACCAAGAATCATTGCCCTGTAATAAAAACTAAAAGGGATAAGACCTAGAGATTGAGGCTCTAGCAGGCTTGGAGACAGAGACAACCCAAACACCAAAGCTCAGTGAAGCATCTCTATCATCCACCGAAGATCTCAGTAAGTCACAATCCCACTTAGACAACCTCAGACTTCAGAGGCTACACTATTCCAAACTATAGCCGTCCTCGAACGGAAGCCTCGTCGGAGAAATAGTCCAACACCGGAAAGATGAAGGAGGCGCAACAGATCTTCCAAACAGGAGCCTGGAAAATTTCGAAACCAAGAAGGATAAAGAAGTAGAGCCACAACAAGAAGACGTCGCTCCACTGCCAATCGAAGCTTCTCTGTCACCGAAATCGTGTGGGAGGAGAAATCTACAACGTAGATTGAAGTCGGATGACTTGCGTAAAGCTAGTGAAGGGTAACAGCTGGACCATCTCCGATGTCACTCGCCATCGACAAGCGAAGCGCCATCGCAGTAGAAAACCCTAACACGAAGACGTGACTCTCACGCACAGCGTAATCTCCAACCACTCACTGTGAAAGACAGAACAAACTTAGTAGATCCACGAAGTTCAGGGGCTGGTGAATCAACAAAACGAAAAGAAGAAGATTGTCCTCTCTCGTTACCCCGACCGAAACCAGACAGCGGAGAGGCTAGCCAAAGAGTAACGGAGGAGAGGTTTCCAACGATCCGTTGGGAGAAAAGTCGTTGCGTGTGAGATTGACGCGCCCAACTTCAAGGGTTTTTACTTTTCCATTATTTTCTAACTTCAATACCAATTACCAACGCATCAACCTGGTCACAAAAACTTAAAAGTTTTGTTCATTCAAACTTAAAACTTCATGACGTCACAAAGTTGTTGGTCCAACACCGGTGCTAGGCGATTTTCCTCTACAAGCCATCTCGTCGATCTCTGTCTCGACCAGTGCCGGTGGCTTTGTTAGCACCGGTGCCGGTCTTTGGCTTTCGATTGATGACTCCTATCTCTTTTCTCGCGGTTCTGCAATATCTCTGAAGGGATTTTGGTCTGATGGCTTGAGGTTTTAGATCGGCGCGGGTCTTTGGGTTGTGGTTCGGGTGTGGTCTGAGCTCGTGGTGGAGGCTCGTAGTCAAGGCTGAGGCTTATCACGAGATTGGTGGTTCGCTGGTCTGGATCTCACGAGATACACTTTCGGGTCAGATCCTCCTCCTTCTAAGCCTTTCTCTCCTCGTCGAGGTTGTTGATCTCTTGCTCGCCGGAAGTCCCTCTTCAGATTAGTTTCTCATTAGTTGGTACTTATCTCTAGTTTGCTTCAATTTCGGTGGTGTCATTAGTGTTTCAATTTTGGTTTAGGGTCAGATTCGGTTGATGTGTTTGGTTCTCTACTAGTTGAAGTTGCAGTTCTGGATTTGTGAATGGCTCTATTTTGGCTTGAAGCTTCGGTTCTAGTCTTGGGTCAAGGTCTTTGTGGTTAGACAAGAGTCATTTGTACTTGTCTTTGGATGTTTTGGATTTGTGTCTTTGTTACAACAGTTGTAGGCTTCACTATTCCCCCTCCTGATGGCTCGATCCTTTAACTTAGCGAAAGAGGTTTTTTCGGTTGGATGTTGGGGAGTGTTGCGGTGTTTGGAGAAGTTTTCTTGGACGCAAGATTCACTTCCAACCTTTGGTTTTGTGGTCGTTTTAACTCTGATCTGGTTCTGTTTCGGTGGGGTTTTAGTGTGGGATGGAGAGTTGGAGTACGTGGAATCGGTAGCGCCCAATTACATTGGACTTTGTGGGCCTCTTGAGGGTGCGGCATAGCTGCTTTCGCTACGGTCGCGTGCTTGTCTTCAGTTCTAGTTCCAGTGGTAAGCTTTTGCCCCAATTTACCGTGACTAAAGCCTGTGATGAATAAGATCAATGGTTGGAAGCGCAAGTATTTGAAGACTCGCTACAACTCGTTTGTTTATCTTACATTCTGTTTTTGATGTAATTTGTAGTAAAGGATTGGTGATTCGATCATATGGTCATCACTGTCAAATATTTTGATCCTTGATCTCTCTTTGGGGATTGCATTTTGTATGCAGTTTATCCCCACCTTGATGTTTAATATATGTGATATTCAGATGTCAAAAAAAAAAGAGCATCCTAAATGGTGGGTTTCTAACATCACATTCTAAGGACATGCCCATCGGTGAGGGACTGTTTGAGTTTTTCAATTAATATAGTATACAAATAATTTAGTTATTTATTTAAATTTAAATTATTAAAAACTCATTTACCTAATCGCATAGAAACACATTGCACATTAGTTTATACATTACATAAGAACCGGTTATTCTGTTAGAGACTATAGAGACTCCACATCTTTCTCTTTCTTCATTTAATCAATATTTATTATTTGTTTAATTGAAGAAACTCATTAAGAGCTTATAGATAAAGGTGGTCTAAGTTTGACCAATTTTTTTAATAATAATTTAATGAGCGGGTATCTCAAATAGTGGAGAAACCTAGTCATGGAGTTTTTGATAAAGAAACTCTTAGATGAGTTTCTACACTATTTGAGATACCCATTCACTAAAATATTATTATTATTTTTTGGTCAAACTTAACATGACCATGTTAGAAACCTACACCATTGAAGATGCTCTAACACTTTTCCAAGTTTTCTTATGTGTTTATAACACATAATTGAAAGTTTTAGTGGATATCTAAGTTTGACCATACAAAAGTAATAATATTTAATTGGATGAGTATCTCAAATAGTGGAGAAACTCACCTATGGGGTTCTTAATTAGGAAACTCTTAGATGAGTTTTCTAATATTCAAGATACTCATTCATTAAAATATTATTATTTTTGTTTGGTCAAACTTAGAACATAATGGAGATACCCACCATTGAAGATCCTCTTAGACCATGTTTATCGGACATACTGAAAGAGGTTCATGGGCCTTTTTTGATTTTAATATAATAAAGTGGGTGTCTTTTGGGTTGAGCCGGATCAGCAAACTGATCCTTTTGATCCGGATCAGCAGTACCACGTGTCGTCCTCTTATTGACCGTGCTTTTTAGGGTTACGCAGAACCGAAAAAAACTCATTTGCTCGAGGTTTGTTTTCCGTCTCTCAGCGAGAGATGATTTGGGCGATTGCGACAGAGAATCTTCTCTCTTCATCATCGTGTGTGTTCGTCGGCGTTTCTCTTCGTTGCCATCAGCTCTCTCTTCAACCGTCTTTTCTCTCTCTGTGGCGATTCGATTAGATCTCGCAGTCTCTCCGATCTGGGCGATTGAAGGCGTTAGCGACGGTGAATCGTCTCTCCTCGATGCAGTGTCTCTTCGTCTGTTTCTCTGGTGATTCATCTCTCTCACGGCGAATCGATCTGTTTTCAACAATC